GCTAATTTTGTATTTTTAGTAGAGGCGGGGTTTCTCCATGTTGGTCAGCCTGGTCTCGAACTCCTGACCTCAGGTGATCTGCCCACCTCGGCCTCCCAAAGTCCTGGGATTACAGGCATGAGACACTGCGCCTGGCCCCCAGCTCCTACTCTTACTCCTTTGCTCTCCAGTGAAGTATTTGTGCCTCCACAGAACCTTCTGCTTTGGAAAAAGAGACCTTTCTCCATTCAATACTGACTGGGCATCAATTCAGAAGACACTTAACCAACTTAGGAGAGCACCTAGCTCAGCTTCTTTCATAGCCAGAGAGACAAATACCCCGTCACCCATTAGATCACTTCAAGGGAAGAGAATGCTCATGTGGCCAAGGCCTACACAGGCTGGGTAGGTTGGGGGTTGGTCTGCTGCTGACCTACCATTGCTTCATCTATCAGAACATTGTACACACTGAAGAAACAGCAACATAGGGGTTGAAGTGTTGACTGACTAGGATTCAAACCCCAGCTCTGCTGTGTTGGCAAAAGGACCCAAAGTCTACCTCCCCATCTGCAAAATGTAATACCATTAAAAAAAAAAAAGGGTAGTTCTGCTTCTGAGGCCCCCTCCATTAGGCTAAGGGTGTGGCCAGTCACAGGTTCACCAGGCTGGAAGATTCTTGAGATGTGGGTCCCTCTCTCTGGTAGGTCTGGGTTTACTGGAATGCATCTCACACTCCAGGTACCAAGGTCTGACTTTTCAGGAAGATCTTAAGGGTAAGGAGGGCCAGGGAGGGTATTTCACCTGAGATCCTGGCCAGTCCTTCTTCCAGCAGCCAGATGCTGCTACAAATCCAGCAAATTCAAAGGGACAAAAGGGGACCAGTGACAACTGATAAGAATATGATCCTGAGTGACCCGTCAGGACCTTGGGGCTCTGAGGGGGAACCAGAGAGCTTAACTGGCTTAAAAACTTAAAAGGATCGGCTGGGCTTGGTGGCTCACACCTGTAATCCCAGCACTTTCAACAGAGGCCCAGGAGGATCACATGAGGTCAGGAGCTCAAGACCAGCCTGGCCAACATGGTAAAATCACACCTCTGAAAATACAAAAATTAGCCAGGCATGGTGGTGTGCACCTGTAGTCCCAGCTACAGCGAGGGTGGAGAATCACTTGGACCCCAAAAGTGGAGGTTGCAGTTTGCTGAGATCATGCCACTACACTCCAGCCTGGGTGACAGTGACTATCTCAAAAAAACAAAACTTAAAGAGATCTTTCCAATGATACACACACACACACACACACACACACACACACCCAGCCCCATTTCTCTCCACCCAGCCCAGTTCACAGACAATTACTAGTGGAAAGGGGACTTAAAGAAGTTTCCCATTTTCTGTGCGGGTTACTGGGCTTTTTAGTAGGCCACTCACCCACTACCTTCACACCAATCCCCCAAGTCCCTACCCTACTTGAAGATGATGCTGTAATTAAGGGAGCTGTGTATTTGTAGACCACAGATTTAACAGGAACAAGCCCACAGAACACCCATCTTTTTTCCCAATCTACTTAGATTTGTTTATACACCAAAGAACCACAATAATTTAGAGCTTCTCCATTTTTATTACATAAAATTGTTAAGTTTTCAACAGTAGGGCTTCTCAAAAACACCAGCTGCATGGTATTACCTGAAAAAGACAAGGCAGTTACATTAAGTTCTCATGTAAATATGAATATACAATCAAGCTTCTGACAAATTATACATCAAGGATGTATATAGTTCAAAGATACTGTGCTGTTGTTACCTCCCACCTCCTCAAAACTCCAAGAACTAGCACCTGCAGAGAAATGGAGAAATACGGAGTCCTGAAGACAGATTAGTAGTCAAAGCAAAGATGCCGCAGGGATTTGAACCCCGTCCTGGAAACCAGAAGTGCCAACCACCAGCATCTTTTGCTTTTTTTTTTTAAAGCTAGAAAAAGGCCAAAAAGCAAAACCTGAGAAAACAAAACGTGTTGTTTTCTCAGGAAAAGAAAAACCTTCATGACCCTACTGAAGAGCACTGGAGATCAGGTTCCGCTAAGATGCTAGCTTGGCCAAGTCTGTTATGTTCACCTGAAAGAGTCTTAGCAGAGAATTTTTGCATTCCCACCCAACAGCCCTCTCAGCCACTCAAATACCTATCTTCTCCAGTCTACAAGTTACATGTTCCCACCCAGCATTACAGTTCTTGATGTTATTTCTCCACTTACAGGTTTAAGTTGGTTTTAGTCACTGGACAGGTGTTATATAGACCTACTTAGCTGTGGTTTTAATATCCTTCTGTTAACAATTTGCAGGCAAATTAATGGCCTTTTCTAATAAAGTGCAACCCACCAAAGACCTCGGCACCATTGTTACCTTGAAACCGATTATGGATCATGCTCACAAGGATCCAAGCTACCGGCTGCATCGAGGTGAGGGGTGAAGGGTCTGTGCTAGATCAAAAGGCACAGGTGGCGATGTGGCAGAGAAGTTGCTTGTGGGGAGACCTTGCTTTTAACAGGCTTCTGGAAAAGCTAGGGAAAACTGGTTGCCCGCTTTCCCCCTTTCCCTCCCCTTCAAGCACCGCTTGAGATTTGGGCTTTATTAGGAGCTGCTATAAAAACAGCTTGCTTAAATGTTAAGAGAAGCCCAGGGGTACTTCAAGCATTCTTTTGGATGCTTCACTCCAGAAAGAGTTGAGGCAAGACCTCATTACTAATAAAAATCAGGTGAGGCTGACACCACTTTTCTTGACCTTAGGATAATAGCGCTTTGTTGTCTCTCTTGCCACAGGAAGGCTCCATGGTTGTCCTACTTTAAGCCTTCGGTGCCTTTAGTGAGGGGTACCTGAAAAATCTTAAAAAAAAAGGCTTAGCGCCCACCTCACCCCTCCACCCCCACGACAACACAGCTTGCTCACATGCCAATTCCTCCAGCATAAAGCTGAATTCTATTCAATACTATTGTCCCAAAACTGATCTGACTTTGTATGTAAATACAGAAAAAGCTTGTTCACCTGTTGTCCTCATTTTGTCCACTGGTGAATTCACAACTGGAAGCTCCTTCTATAGTCTGAAGAATACCATCTGAAAGAACTAGTGGTTCCCAATCCCCACATTTAAAATGGAATGTTTGGTTTATTTAAAGTAAATAGACTATTTTTTCTTACTGGGTCTGGCTTCTCTGGCCCTTCGCATAGGTTATGTTTGCTGTTCTGAGTGTTCCTGCATGTAAGAATTAAGACCAAGGGAGGGGAGAGAGAAACCCACACAAAAACAATGCACTAAAGATCACTGAACTGTTAAACATTTCCACTTGCCAGTTAAATTTCTTGAAGACTGTTGCTTGTTTGGAATTTGTTTCTTGTCACTGATTTTAAGGTTGCATCTGGAAAAGACTAAAGGCTTCAGTCCCCACCCCCCACCACCAGAAATGAACAAAAAGCATTTTACCTAAAAATGCACGGCAAAATGTACTTAGCTTCAATCACAAACACGACTGCTTAAAACTGCAGAAATTTCCTCAACACTCAGCCTTTATCACTCAGCTGGATTTTTTCCTTCAACAATCACTACTCCAAGCATTGGGGAACACAACTTTTAATCATACTCCAGTCGTTTCACAATGCATTCTAATAGCAGCGGGATCAGAACAGTACTGCATTATTACTTGCCAACAGAACAGACAGACCTGAAGTCAAGACAACTGCATTCTCTGTGAAGTCTGTAAAAAAAAAAGCTAAAACAAGTAAGCCCCACCCGCTCCTCCCATCCCTCCAAATTCCAGGAAAAAAATTTTGAGTATGCTGATAAACTCACTGCAAGGTCTCATACACTCACTAGGAGAACAGAAGGAAGAGCCAAGCACTCATATGCAATTCAAAATCCTGAACAGCTTCATGAAGGATGAAATGCCTCTGCAAAGGAAAATTCTTTAAAAACCCACAGGTCCCCCACAATGCCTACATAAGGTCAATAGTGTAAAACATTGCCTACCACTCTAAGATTGTAAGCATTTAAAGTTAACATGCAAACTTTGGAAATGTGAAAAAGTACTTTATTAACTCTAGTCACTGTCAATTTATAGACCCTTGACTTTCTGGAAATAAAATGTGTAATTACCTTTTACTCTGATCATTATCTCCCACCTGTCTAAGAGGTTATTTATTCCTTATTTAGAGGGCCTCTATTGCCATGTGCCTGGAATTATTATATGCTCATCACTTTATGAAGAATAAAATTTGTCTTTCCTGCCTTAAGAAAGTTACATTCGTTCTTCCGCTCAAATCCTGATCTCGTCCATTAAAGAGTGTTCGCAGACAAAGTTTCTGAAAGATTAGAGAAGAATCCCCCCCAAGATTGCCCCAACACTAAACTACAAACAGTATTTTATTTAAATAAGGAGACAGCTTTCTAAAAGTATACATTCTCTAACAATAATAGTTTATTAGTTTGAATGATTTAATGGTTTTCTACACAATTTACATCACAACACAACATGTAAATTTTAGCAAGAAAACATCTGATTCCAACAGCACATCATGCTATTCCTTTCATAGTCTTCAGAGATTCAATGCGAAACAAATTTCTGTAATTTTGCATAAGGCACTAATCACGTCAGAGGCTTTTAAGAAATTAAAGATGCAAATGCCTCTGAGTGAAGTGTACTATCCCATCACGGAAGCCCACAGGAACAAGTCCTATATAATTTTAAAGAGGCTCGATGGGAACATTTCTCAATCCTGAAATCCCCTAGGGAAGGGGTCAGGAAAAAGTGCCATGGTTGATATTTAAGAACTCCACAGCTCCTAAAAATAAGCACTTATCCCTAACATGCAATACTGCAGATGCAAGTTAAACTTATCTGTTAACAGCTGCTTGCTGTTTTCTGCTCCCAGATGAAATGAAGCAACTCTTCTGATAACGAAGAGATACCTGTCTGAGGCAAACGAAAGATTGGCACACAGCACAGCCTCCTCAATCCACTTGATCCCAACTCATCTCTCATTTATTTCGGCTTCTTTCATTCCAGGATTAATGTAGTGTAAGATTTTCATTTCATTTCGCTTTTATTCTGCTTTTGTAAAAGCAGTATTTTGAGATGGACATTGGCTCTTCATTGTATTTCTCATCAATTCATTATTTTTGTGGTTATAGCTTGACAAGCACTTAGCTTTAAAATGGTAGATTTCCGTAACTTTAAATTGGTAGCTTTCATTTGCTTAAATTTTTTTTTTGGCATACGCAGATAATGTTCTCATCGGTAGTAAAGAATCTGAGGGTTATGCTTATTCCCCAGTGGAGGTATGACATATAATCTTTTCTGCCTTTACTTATCATTCACCAAGGAGCTGTTCTCTCTGCATCTAGGCCATCATACTGCCAGGCTGGTTATGACTCAGAAGATGTTATCTGAAAAAAGTCTACAGAAAAAAAAAAGTTTCCCCTCCCTCATCAACAAAAGCCCACCCTCTAAGAGACATTCAAGCTGAACTATCACAATTCTTAATTACGATTTACAAACATAAATTTAAAATCACAATTTACAGAATTTTTGAAGCATACCTTAACATCTTGTTTTGCAGCTGAACAACGGAAAAATATTTCTCCTACGCTAAAAAAAACTTGCTTACACACAACTGAAAATAGAATCTTACTTGATAATACAAAAGCTACCATCAGAAGAAATCCCTTCAGGATCATTAAGCCACTTCCTTTGCTCTGAAGTTTCTATAGTAGTTTTAAGTTATTATTAAACCACCTGAAAAAAATTCCAAAAGAGAACCACACACTACCATATCCAAACAACTTTAGCATTTCCCATAATTGTAGCTAATGTCAGCCCAGTGCTTCAGACCAACCCCCATTTCAATACTTTCCTTCCCCAAGCTCTATACTTTGAGGGAAAACAGATACAGTATCAAATTATGATACTTTCCTTGCCCAAATTAATGCACTGGTACACCCAGTGGCTCCTATTTAACTTCCCCCAGCTTCCCAATTCAAAAATTAGGGGAAACAAACTAAAGGATTGGGAGTTACTTGCCAACTTGGAAGTTGAGATTTCTTTACCTTTTCCATTCTAAGACTAAGTTCTCTGGCATGAGTTTATCTGCAATCATAAACTAAACAATTACCTAAACCCACCCCCCCAATCCCAACCATAACAGGCCACTGCCAACTAATTGCCAGTATTTGCCCCTCCCCTTTAATAAAACTTTTAAGAAGTCACATTATTTGAAAACTTAACTTCAACATTTGGCCTACTCAAGCTCTTCTGAAGTTCTCCTGAGATGACTGAATATGAACCAAAGCTGCACTGTGCTGTATTTTTCAGCTTCAACTGGGAATACTCTTCCAAGGATAAAAGCAGCTCCAGTCCCTGAAGGTGTTCGTGCCAACAGTACAGCGGTACACTCCTTCTCTAACCCAGTTTGTCAATAGTACTATAGCATCTGCGGAAAATCTTAGAAAAAAACATTTTCTCCCCCACCCTCTCTCTTCCCTGTTAAGACCATCCCAAAATACTTCAAGTAAAAAGTAACAAGTTTAAAGGGTTAAGCACTTTTAAAGTCTTATTAAGGAGGGAGGGGGGAAAAAAGAGTAACTACCAGCCATTTCTCCAATAGACTTCTCCTCCACAGACCTTAACGTGAGAACTGCTCTAGTTTCTATAAACGGTAAACCTGTGTGGTGTTCTGATTATCCTGATACTGGATTTTCTTGTTTTCTGTAACACCTTGAGTCATTTGCCTTTAGGATTTTAGTCAGACCTATGGGGAAAAGAACTCAAAACATATTTTGCCCCCACCCCACAAAAAAAATACTTAAAATTCCCCCCCTCAGTTACACACCAAACTCCACATTTCTATTAGAAAACTAATTTAGGATGAGGAAGTAAAAACAGGTCATCTATTCACAAAACTGAAATACTTCATTACCCCAACTAAACATACAAACTGCTTACAGATTTGCTGAGATTTTGTCTCAATTTTGGCTCTATCAAATTCATTTGGTTTTCAAATTGGTATATTAAAAAAAAAAAAAAAAAAAACACAAACTTGCCATCTACTATTCCTCCAGGACTTGGCAGTCTGCCCTCAAAAGCTTCAGACAAGAGTCATGAGTATAAGCCTGAAAAAGAGAAACCTACAACACCCGGAAATCGGCCTACATCCCCATATAAATCCCTTTACAACTCAGTACGAAACTCCCCCGGTACATTAGAAAAGTAAATAAAAGGTTACCATACTCAAGTTCCAGAAAAACAACATATTGCCGACCTCACGGATTTTTACCAACCACTCGCTTTCCCTGTGGCCTTGGCACACTGGCATGCTGGTCTAGGATCCTCTATCTACGCACAACGCCCGCTCGCCTCCTCCGTGTGGTTGCCAAGCCAAGCCGCCTGCTAGCTTCATCACCAAATCGCACTCGCTCCTTCCTGGAATCCTTTTTCCTAGCTTCACCACCAAATCGTTAGCGCTCCTTCCTTCTTCCTAGCTTCCTTCACCAAATCGCACTGGCTCCTGGACTCTTTTCCTATCTTCACCACGAACTGCTGCTTGCTCCTCAGTCCTAGCTTCACCAAACACTGGTTCCTGGAATCCTGTCTGCTGCTGTCTTCCTAGATTCACTGAATCCACTTCTGTGTAGCACCTGGGTCAGCTGCCAATTAATGCTAGTCCTCAGGATTTAAAATATCATCTTAGCTCAAAGTCCAATGCAAAAATATTAAGTTGGTAATTACTCTTGATCTTGATTTCCGTTACGAAAGTCCTTCAAATTTTTCAAACTAAGCTACTGTATTTAAGGCCTTCCAAATTCTTCTAACTCTTCCAAAAGCCTTCTGCCTTAGTTTTTAAAAATTACTCCAGTCCTTTTAGCAGCTTTTTGATGTGATTTTTAACCGACTTCCCCCTTCTAGCTTCAAATATTCTTCTAAATTGGTTCTGGTCTACATAACGTAAAGACCCTCATCTTCTCAAGCTTTACCTTCTAACTTCTGCACCACCAGAATTTAAATTGATAGGCTTTTAAAATAAATTACCAATAATTTCCTCATTTTTTCAGTGCTATTTTATCCAATTTTTGGCTTTGTATTTTTCTATCTTCTATACCTCTCCAATACTTGTCTTAGCTTGTTTTTCGTTTTCTATCTGAAACTCTTGACAATATTTTCATTTTCTATCTTGTTTCTATCTTCCGGTTTTCTTCTAAGTTTGTACATTTTGCCCTTAGTTGCTTTTGTTTCCTAGCTTGTCTAATTTTTTTCTTCTGCTTCCTACTTTTCAGGCTTAAATTTATCTTTTGTCTTCTAAAGGTATGTTTTTATCTTCTAATTTCCCTATCTTCTCTATTCTTTTCTTCGCCTTCCTGTACTTCTGTCTTCGTTTTCCACTTCAAACTTCTAATCTTCTCCAGATTGTTTCATCCTACCACTCCCAATTAATCTTTCCTATTTTTCGTCTGCGTTTAGCAAACGCGTTAAGATTAACTGGGCTTTAAATGACGCAACTCTCCCTGCGTCATGGAGTTCAAGGTCTTTTAATCACCTTCGATTTAATCTCATTTTAAATGATCGCCTTCAAATTATTTTAATCACCTACAACTTTTTAAACAACGTTTAAGCTCTGTTTAAATCACCTTCATTTTAATCTAAAAGCACTGCCCTTCTACTGGCATTAATTCAGGGCTCTGGTGTCCCTTCTCTCAATTTTCTTTTAAATCCATTTTTTACTTCTTGAAGAAGCTTCATCTCAACCTCCGTCATGTTTTAGAAATCTTTTTTCCTTTTCCTTCCTCACGCTACACTTTTAACTCTTCATATTTTCTCTTAAAATCTTAACTTATTCAAATTACGTTAAGAACCTAATGCTAAGCAAAATCTTAGTAAGCTACTGACTACATTTCTTAAGCAGTTGTATTAATCTGTCTTTCAAAGAGAGAAAACTTATCTGCGGGTTCCTCAAGCTGCGCCTGCCACTTCAGCAGAAACCCCTGCGCTGGCTGCCTCAATGCCTGCCGCAAAGCACGGGCGAGGCCTATTTATTGACGGAGGACAGCTCGCATCACCGGAATTCGATCACCTTCCGCCGCCTTTGTGAGGGAGGCAAAAAATAGTTCTTCGGTTAAAAATAGGTTTTAGTTTTACAAGACTTTTCTAGATTTTTTCATAACAGCTTATGGAACTTGAGTGCAAACTGCACATTCAGAAATATTTAAATTAATAGCATGTGGAAAGATTTGAGCTGAAAACTTCAGACAAAAGAAACGTGGAAATCACATTTTAAACGGGTCATCAAACACTTCACAAAATCCCCGGAACTTTTAAAATACCTCTTAAAGCGCTTTTTGTGTTCTCTTGAGAGACAGGAGGAATAGTTTACTACCCTTTGAAGGAAGGTAAAGGTGTGATAGCTCAGGGCTTTACTTTCCATTACACAACTGAGCCCCAGCCTTGGAGGGACGGTTGAGAAGTGGCAAAATGGCGGACTTTCTCCCCCAACTGCCTGCAGTCCTGCGACTTGCTCCAGACAGCCACACGTTTTGCTTGCTCTTTTATTCGAGAAATCCGAGCAGCACAGGCTATCTTCTTGGGAAGTCTTAGAAACGTGAAAACCCACTTTTGGAAACCGCCTCAATCCCACACCACAGAGCTGCTCCCCGCCTGAGCCCCGGGATCCGCCGGCTGCCAGTGGCCCACTCTGATCTGCGGCCCCGAGGTGCCGCCAGACCCCCACGGCCCGCACGGAAATTTTTCTACCGTTTTTCAGCTTCCAGGCTCTCCTGAAAGTGCTCACAAGGCAAATCGCCACGGAAAGCAAGTTCAAGTGGCCTTTTAAAGTTGCTCAACTAAGCGAACGGCTTTGTCTCCGAAGACACAGGGACCTTGGGCAGACAGTCAGGGACACGCCCTGGAGTGTTTACACTGCTCTGGGGCTGCTTTGCTAGGGTCTTTGTTTTACAGATTCTGTCTTATGCCTGGTTAGGTCCGAGCTTCAGACTTCCTGAACCGGAGTAGGAAAAAAAATAAACCTTTCCTCCAAACCCCAAGACCAAACTGCACGGTTTGAGTGGTTTTATCTAAATACCACCACCTGGCATGGCCAACCTAAAAGGACGACTAACGTAACAGTACAGCCCGTCGCTGCGTCCCAAGGACGCAGGGAAACGGGGACTCCGGGAGGCAGCAGAGAGGACCTGCCTACAGGCGGGGTGAGGCTTCCCGGCGCCCGGCTTCCGCGTTGCTAAAATGGCGTGGCGCCTAAGGGTGCAGGTGAGAGACCAGTACAGGACCCCAATGCTTTACAGAAGCCTCGGGCTGCGGCCGCGGAGGAGAAAGCGGGGGCAGGGAGCGACCCGGCGGCCTGCAGGGCTGCGGAAGGGACAAAGGCCGGAGGAGGGGCAAAGGCCGGGGGAGGGGCAAAGACCGGGGGAGGGGCGGCTCGCGAGCGCCGCGCAGGGATACGCGAGGGCCGTGAGCCGCCCTCCCTTTGTGAGGCGCTGGCTCGTGGGCTGGAGCCACCGGTTCTAACCGGCTCTAGCCGGTCCTGGCCGCCTTCCCGGAGCTGTGGCGGTTGGCGCAGCGCGTGACTGCGCACGCGTGCCCCGCCCTAACGCCTGCGCCAGTCCTAGGGAATGGCTTGGGGGTGGGGTGGCAGCTGGGCTGGGAACTTCTTGGTAGCTACTCTGCGCTGTCACCGCACTTGGGGGCTGGTCTTCGTTTCGGGGAGCTGCTGCCCAACTTCCCTTTTCAGTCTAGGTCTTCCTTTCCCACCTCTATCCTGTCCTTTGTCATTTCCTCCATATAGTCTCGATGTCACCCATTAATTGAAAATCAGAACACGATTCTTGTATAGCTATCAAGGGCTATGGCGTTTTTGCAAAATATCTTCGTCGTTTGTATGTCACCAGGTCTTACTAGTCTAGAATTCTCGGGGCGGAAGTGGTCTCAGGCTGACCTAGCAGTAGCCTAATTTTTTAGAAAAGAAACTGAAGCAATGACCTAAAATGGAGAGCTCCGGGGCACACGAAGCTTGGAGCTGGACGGGGTGGTGAGACCCACCCGCTCTGCTCCCTCACCCCCGGGTCTTTAGAACTTGTATCATGGCTTGTTTTTAGGCAGTCAACTCCGAGGGGAGAGATTAATGACACTGTATAGGTTAAGATGGCAACTACACAATGATACAGCAACTCTATGAAGTTGATTTCTAAAACCCCTTTGGCTCCTGTAAATGATGCAGGTTGTGTAAAGTGTGGGGGAGCTGCCCTGGGGGCTCCAGCAAATGAGGGTCCTGTTTTCTGGGCCAACTCCCTGTCCCCATCTGCCCACATAAAGCAGGGACCGTTGAAGCAGCTTTTCTCAATTGACGCTGGTGAAACTTCTTGTTTTCTTTTTCTTTTTTTTTAACCTGTAAGAGTGGAATATTACTGAGATGCAGCCGGATCCCTTTAGGCACAGTCCTGATGCTTGCTCTGGGTTGGAAATTTTTTAGTAGAATTTTATCGCTGGATAGAGGAAAATTGAGGCAGGTCACCTCGTTTCGCAAATGGGGATTTGGGGGCCTGGAGATTTTGTGATTTGCCTGAAATGACACACAGCTAATTAATAGAAGAAGCTGTTCTTGAATCCCAGATTTTCCACGTCCTGCTGCCTCCCTTCCTCTCCAGCTCTTCTGTAAGTCTCCCCAACTGCGGTTTTTCTGTATCTGGGGGAGTACCTAGGACCTAGCACCTGCTCTGTGCTCTCTCCCTCACTCTAGAGCGAGTGAGATGAACCTTAAGAGCCCTAAAGTGCGTGTCACTGCATTAATTTCCATTACCTTTACAGAGTACAGAATTTTTTTTTTGGGGGGGGGGATGGCGTCTCTGTTACTGAGGCTGGAGTGCAGTGGTGCGATCTCGGCTCACCGGCTCACGGAAACCTCTGTCTCCTTGGTTCAAGCAATTCTCCTGCCTCAGCGTCCCGAATTGCGGGGACTACAGGGGCCCGCCACCACGCCCGGCTAATTTTTTGTAGTTTTGTAGAGACAGGGTTTCATCGTGTTAGCCAGGATGGTCTCGATCTCCTGACCTCGCGATCCACCCGCGTCGGCCTCCCAAAGTGCTGGGATTACAGGCGTGAGCCACCGCGCCCAGCCGCCAGAGTGTTGTACAGTCATACCTTGGTTTCCATGGGACATTGGTTCTAGAACCTCTCCTCGGATACCAAAATCTGAAGATGCTCAATTTCTCAACCTACACATACCCTCCCATATCCTTTAAATCATCTCTAGGTTGCTTATAATGCCTAATACAACGTAAATAGTTTTTATATTGTATTGATGAGGGAGTAATAACAAGAAATGAAGTCTGTACATGTTCAATACAGACTCGAGTTTTAAAAATTTTTCTTTTTTCTTTTCTTTTTTTTTTTGAGATGGCGTTTCACTCTTATAGCCCAGGCTGGAGTGCAATGGTATAATCTCACCTCACTGCAACCTCCACCTCCTGGGTTCGAGCAATTCTCCTGCCTCAGCCTCCCAGGTAGCTGGGATTACAGGCGTGCACCATCACGCCTGGCTAATTTTTGTATTTTTAGTAGAGACAGGGTTTCACCATGTAGGTCAGGCTGGTCTCGAACTCCCTACCTCAGGTGATCTGCCTCGCTTGGCCTCCCAAAGTGCTGGGATTGCAGGCGTGACCCACCATGCCTGGCCTTTAAAAATACTTTTGATTCACAGTTGTTTGAATCCACAAATGTGAAAACCCATAAAGGGGCCAAGGCTGTTGGATCATTCCAGACCAGCCTGTCCAACTTGGTAAAACCCCGTCTCTACTAAAAATACAAAAATCAGCCAGGTGTGGTGGCACTGCCTGTAATCTCAGCTACTCAGGAGGCCAAGGCACGAGAATCACTTGAACCCGGGAAGCAGAGGTTGTGGCGAGCCGAAAGTGCGTCACTGCACTCCAGCCTGGGCGACAGAGTGAGACAATGCCCAAAAAAAAAAAAAACCTCTAAAAAATGAAATAATAAAAAAAGACAGCCTAAAATTGCCATGTACTTTAGTTAGAAGATTAATAATACATTTGATTATGTGGCCTTCTCACCACTCTTGGAACTAAGGATCTTTTTAACATAACACTGAATTTTTTCAAGGCACCTTTTCTCTGGACTATATCCGTGCTCCTTTTAACTTCAAAATGTCTGATGGCAGCTGCTCCCTCTACTAGTCCTTTAATATCATGTTTGTTCCCTTTCACTTTGTCTCAAACCTAGGCTTCATTTGGGCCTAAGGACACAAATATAAAAGGGCAAATTTGTTTAAGCCAGTCATCTCATGCTCCCCTCAAAAAAGCCCAGGCTAAAATTAGGAGGCCCTTGGTTCTGGTTTCTGGCAGTTACTCCACTGACAAACAGCCCTGTGACCTCAGGCACCAACCCAAATAACTTCCCAGTAGCAACTGAGATATGTGAAATGAGAGGATTCCATGCAAGAAGCCATGATGCTGATTCTTTAAAATACAGTAAACAAAGGGGTGGGGAGAGGACATGAAAGATTTTAGGCTGGGACTGGGCGGGCGTGGGTGCGGTGGCTCACGCCTGGAATCCCAACACTTTGGGAGGCTGAGGTAGGCAGATCACCAGGTCAAGAGATCAAGACCACCCTGGCCAACATGGCAAAACCCGATCTCTACTAAAAATACAAAAATTAGCCGGCCGTGGTAGAGGGAACCTGTAGTCCCAGCTACTCGGGAGACTGAGGCAAGAGAATCGCTTGAACCCTGGAGGCAGAGGTTGCAGTGAGCTGAGATGGTGCCACTGCACTCCAGCCTGGCAACAGAGCAAGACTGTCTCAAAAAACAAAAAATAAAAAAAGGAAAGATTTTAGGCCTCCTGGCTGTACCTCTGAGGAGATGGGATGCTGGAAAGGACTAAAAGGGCAAAAATTTAGCATCCAGCCTCTAAGCATACAGTCAGCAAGGCTCTACCTTAATCCTCCTGACTCATGCCAGGCCAGAAACCTCCAGAGAATGCCAGAATCCACTCCACCCCTTCCCTGATTGGCAAGTCCAGTCAGGCTTAGTCAAGAGACAAGCTTCTGAGAGGCCCTTTATCTACGGCCCTGGAGCCCAGAGGCTGGGGTGGCTGAGTCTTCATGGCACCTGGATTCCTCCCAGGCCTCCTTTGATTTTTATCTAATCCTATAATTTTTTATTTAATTCTACATTTCCAGAGCTCTCTAGAAATGCGTGTAAGAAATGAAGGGCAAAGACAATCCCAAGAAAACAACTTTTTTTTTTTTTTTCTTGAGACAGTTTTTTGCTCTTGTCGCCCAGGAGAGTGCAGTGACAGGATCTCAGCTTATTGCAACCTCTGCCTTCCAGGTTCAAGCGATTGTCCTGCCTCAGCCTCCCGAGTAGCTGGGATTGCAAGCGCCCGCCACAATGCCTGGCTAGTTTTTGTATTTT